GTTGCAACAGCAATTTCTCATTTCTCATATTTTGCAGGGGGAGGGGGGGGAAACAGCATTTAGCTACCCAACCACACTTTTCCCTAATCCATTATTGACTTTACGTGATAATACAATATCTTCCTTTTTCTTCTTGCAGACCAAGAAATAACACAAGAACATCAGTTCAGGGTACTGAGCTTTTGTGAGCAATCATACAGAGTTTTTTTTCACTTAAATCCATTTTAAAAATGCTACATGCATCTTTGTCTCAATTTCCAAAGTCCATCTTCAAGTCTCAGATGGAGACTATTTATTTTTAAAGGGGTAAAGAATCCATCAGGGCTGGCCCCGCTGCTTATGATTGGAAGCAGAAAAGTCCTCTTTTCTGTTTCAAATCTGCCAGCATTAACCACCCACGTAAGCCACTGATGCCATGTTTATTACAAAGCAGGAGGTAAAAAGCAATAAATAGCCACATCCCTGCACTTGGTGCTGGTTTTCTCCACGTGAAAATTGCATGGGAAGAGAGCAAAACCCATCATGGGATCGATTTTATCCAAAAGATTAATAGGTTTCATTTCATTCTACCTGGGCAGCTCTTTGGCTCAACGGCTGGCACAGAAGATTGCTGCAGGAGCCCAACAGTGCCAGGGGTGTGTAGCCTTCCAGGAGCAATGGCCTGGGATCCTGGGATCTGCCGTTCAGGAATGTTCAGGACCTGCGGGTAACATACACCTGATCTCAGCAGGTTCTGGCTGAAAGAGCAAAACAGACGACTGGAGCCTGAGAGATTTGGGGCGACCAGAAACGGACTGGCACATGGCATCAGCGGGGCACTCCAGACCCTGGGTCAGGGCCTTTTCCCCAGCAGCAGTCTGACCGCTCCAGAGGCCAGCTAGCAGTTTGCCCAGCATGTGCCCGGAATGCCGATTGTCTCAGCCAGCGGCCACCAACGCAGGAAGCAGCCAGGCCCCACCCCAGAGACTTCCCACCCAGGGACAGGCAGGCAGCCAGCCATGCAAAGAGCCGGGAATAGCTGGAGGCTCTGATGTGTTGAGGGTTCGCCTGAAAAGGTCGCCTGATAAAGCAGGGCTGGTTTAGCAGAACTGCATTCTCACTCGTCTGGCTCACTCATTCCCACCCACCCCCACCCGCCTGAGAGAAGATCTGGGGCGTGGACGCCTCCTAGGGAGCCGGAAAGGCTGGGCCGGCTGTGGAGGGGCCAGCAGCCCCGGCCAGGAGAGCAGTGGAACCTCCCTGAACGGGAGCAGCCAGAAGGGAAGACCTGCTCGAATCAGGGGGCCCTCAGAAGCCGAGGTGGAGGAGGCAGCTGCCCCAGCCCAGGTCCTGCCAGGACGGAGCTCCCTGGAGCCCTCCCAGGAGGAGATGCGCCCGCCGGGTGGGGGGAGGCCTGGCGCCCACCTGGAAGGGACAGGGGACCAGCGCCAGCCAGGCCCAGGTGAGCCGGGGCAGCCGGTGCCTGAGGAGCAGAGAGGCTCGCAGGGGGCCAAAGGGCCGCCCGGGCACCCTCCCTCTCGGCTCTGCCCTCCCAAGCGGCCTCCAACTCCCATAACCCTCAGCCAGGGAGGGGCTGGCGCTGCCCTGGGCGCTTTCCCACAGGCCGAATCCCGGAAAGGCGGCCAGGCCACGACCCCCCCCCCCAATTCCAAGCAGACCCCCGGAGACGGAGCTGCCCGGAGGCTTCGGCCGGGCTTCCCTCGCAGCTTCTTGCCGCGGCGCCGGGAAGAGAGCGCGGGGCCAGCCGGCCGAGGGGGCGGCCGCTCTTCACTCGCCCCGCCGACCCCCAACGCCGCCGCCTCCCTCAAGCCGGGCTCCCCCCGGAGGAAGCGCTCGGTCGGCGGCTGCTATGGCCTCGGGCAGCCCGAGCAGCGCGGCGCTACTTTCTCTGCCGGAGTCCGGCCGCGCCTCCTACTGCTCCCCGCCGCCGCCCCCCCCCCCCCCCCCCCCCGGGGCCCCCGGCCGGGCCGCGGCGGCCCCGGCGAAGCCCCTCGCGGGCCCAGGAGCCCCCCCCCCTGCCGCCGCCCCTCGCCCCGCCCGGCACCGACCTGCAGGAGATGAGCTCCGCCCGCGCTTGCCGGGACCCTCCGCCGCTCCTCTTCCTCCCGCGGGGCTCCGCTAGACTCGCCGCCGCCGCCGCCGCTGCGCTCTGCCCTCCGCCCGCCGGAGAGGCCCCGCCCCGCCCGCAGGTAGGCGCGCTGCACCCTGGGAGCTGCAGTCCGCGCCGCCTCCCGCGGCCCCGCCCGCCTGACCAGGTGAGCGGGCGGCGCTCGGCTGCCTCTGCCTCTCGGGCTGCTGCGGGGGAGCTCGGCCGCCCCTCCGGCGCTCGGAAGCCGCCCCGCGGGCACCGTCCCGGCTTTTGCCTGGGCGAACGGTCGGTCGGGGTCCGCCGCGGCCTCGGACCCGACACGATGCGGAGGCCGGCTCGGGATGGGGCGCGGGGAGAAAGGGAGCGCGCACCTGGAGCATCGACGGCGCCGCACTCCAACTCCCGGCGGCCTCCGCGCTCCCCGGGTGACGCACGTCTCTGGAATGGCCCCCGCCTCGCCCCCCCGGGCTCGCCCTGCCCCAGAGCGGAGAGGGCCCTCTGAGCCGGTGCAGAGTGCGCTGACTGAGCGGCTCCGCGCCGTCTCCTTCCCCCTCCCGGTGTCCCCCGCCCCTTGCCCCCCCCCCCGGCGCAGAAGGCCGGGCTGCCTCTGTACGTGGGGAAGGGCCTGGAGGCGCCACGAGGGGGCAGCACTCGAGGATCCGCCGCGGGGAAACGGGAGTTTCAGCTTCACGGGTTCCGCCCGATCGGCGCCTTTACGCCTTTATGGCTGGGTTGCCAAGGAAACGGAGCAAGGCCCGGTACCCGATCGCCCCGCCGAGTCCCGCCCAGCAAGGCCCGGGGCTTCGGCGTCTCTGGCTGCAATTCCTCTGGGCTCGCAGGGGCTCCCCCTGGGCTGTGCTGGCTGGAAGTCTGACGGGCGGAGCGTGGCTGCGGTGGGAGCGCCCTGCTCTGTCCGGAGGGCGACAGCCCCGACTGCCCGCAGCCTCCGGAAGCCTCAGGGAGTCCTCGACTTACAACGGTTCATTTAGAGGCCGTTAAGACCGTCCTTTGAAGCATCCCCATGATCACGTGATCGAAGTTCAGAGGCTTGGCAACCGGCTCACACTTATGACCGTCGCTGCGGTCCCCTTTGGCGACTTTCTGGAAGCCAGACTCACTTAACGACCACTTTTCTAACTTATCAACTGCAGTGATTCACTTAACTGCGGCAAGGAAGGTCATAAGATGGGACAAAATTCATTTAAGTGTCTCGCTTAACAGAAATGCTGGGCTCCATTGCGGTCATAAGTTGAGGACTACCAGCACAATGTTCAAAGGGGTTGGGGGGGGGGGGCTGGCTGGCTTTCAAGGACAGGCGGGGCTTCCAGAGCCTGCAGGTCTCCTCAGAGGGAGGCCAAGGGCGGCCACTCGCACAGTTGCTCCTCTTCCGGGAACGAGCTGCCCCTTTTCCAGGATGCTGAGCGCACCGTCCCATGGCTGCCAGGTGGGCAGACCCTGAGCAGGGGGGGGGGGCTGCCCTCCACACCTGCCAATTCTGGTACAAAGAATTCTCGCCCAGGCAGGGGGTCCCTGGGTGGGGGGGAGTTTGGCCTCCCCAGGGGCCCTCAGTGAAACTGAGCTGAGGTTTTGCAGTCAGCCACAAGCCGGGATCGCGAACTACCTCCTAAGAACTCAAACTCAGGTCTGGGTTCAAGTCTTGCAGGACACGGAGGTTGCTTAAAAACTAGCAGTCCTTACAGAACAGCACCACCTATTGTACACCGAAAGCAAAGCAAGGAAGCCGCATGCAGTTTATCCGTTTTTATTCCAAGGCTCTTTAACAATCCTGCAGATCCAGGGCTAAAAGACACAATTCCACATTCTTTAAAAGAAACTGGACGTTTTCCCCTCATGAGGGGCCGGGAGAGATCAAACTCTAATTTTAAAAATTTAGCATTACCAGGACAATTTTATTAAAAGCCATTCCAGCTGACAGAGAATGGGAAAGGCTAAGGGAGATGGGTTGGTCAAGCTTGGCTTTCAGAGGTAAGAAAAATAAATTCAAACTCTGTTGCTGGGTTGTTGGAAAAGGGAGCCTCACGGGGTCTTCAGTTCTGGCCTTGCTTGCTGGGAGTGATGTGCTTTGTAGTTCAACAAACGTGGGGGAGACACATGGACACACAGCAACTTCTCCAGATGTTGGTGGTGCTCCCCCTTCCCACCCACCGGGCCACCCCAGCTGGCCTCTGCAGACCAGAGCCCCCACCCCTCCATGGGGTGGGCAGCCTCGAAGGGCTGCTGGAGTCAGAGGCTGCTCAGACAAAGGGAAGCTTGGCTCTCGGCTGCCCTTTTCCTTGGCTCCTCCTGCAAGAGGGGGGGGGGGAGAGGAATTCAGCTCAAACAGCCGTCTTGGAGAAGCAGTTCTGAGACAGCTCCTGCCCTCCTGCCCCACCCTCCGAGCCTGGCCCGGGCCAACCTGAGCCAGGGGTTGGGACTAGGAGACCTCCAAGGTCCCTTACAACTCCATTAACCCCCAGCCCCACCCCGGGTACCTCTTGCGCTTCCTGCTCTTTGACTTGTTTACGTTCTGAGGCCTGGAAAAAAAGAAAGTGATTCTGCATGGCCAGCAGCAGGCACCGAACCCGACCCAGGTCTGGGGTCTCCAGGTAGAGGAGGAAGAAAAGGAGGCACCCCCCCCACAACCTGCACAGGCCTGGGCCCTCCCGCACCCTCCCGCCACTCCGAGGCCTCTGCAGCAGCCTCCCTTGCGCAGGGGCCCCAGGGTGGGAAAAGGTGGGAGAAAGCAAGCAGGGGAGGGGGGGCGAGGACTGTGAGCCAAGAACTGCTTGTCCTCTTCCACCTCCAGCAATTCTCCCCACCCGTCCCCTGACTAGCCATCCAGGGGGGCTGCCGTTTGGCCCCTCCCTCACCTGCATTCACAGGTCACATGCTCCGTGAAGTCTTTCTTTTCCAGCTGCGAGGTCTGTGTGCTGGAGCTCACCCGCATGATCTACCCGAGGAGAGGAGCAGCTGTTAGGTGCGCTCCAGCAGCAGACCCAGGCAAGGCTCTGCTCCTCCCGGCCTCCAAGAGTATCCTGACCCCCCACCCCCGAGGCAGGATTGGCCCCTCACCTGCAGACTGATGGTGCGCTTCTGCACAGCGGAACACTGCACGGCCTCGTCACTGCAGCAGCCGGCGCATCGTTGCAGAACCACACAGGAGGGCTGTGCCCTGGGGGTGCTCTTTGTGGACGTTGACCAGCCCCTCTCTGGGCTGGCAGGCGCTCTTCCTGAACGTTCGCAAATAAGCCTCCGGGGAAAGGGAGAAAGAGGGTCAGATGCTGCCCTGACCTTCGGGGGCCCTCCTTGCCTCTTGCCTTAACCCCAAAGGGCAGCAGCCTTCCTTCCCCGGGTTGGGAAAAAGCCAGGAGGGGGCCAGGTAGACCCCCCTCTTCTCCTACTGGGCCACATCTCCCCTCCAACCCCCACCCCGTGAGAAAAACGCTGCGTGGTGCAACCCGGGCCAGGAGGACTCCGCCCTGCCCAGGGAGCCCTTTCCCACATGCTCTGAACACGCAGGTGGCCGAGCGGCATTTCTGCCAGAGATTTCGCCCAGAAATTCTGGCAGAGGGGTGGGGGCAGAGCTGGGGGTCCCTTGCCTGCCACCTGCTCTTTTCAAGGGCAGGAATGATGCTCTGGGCACCCCCCTCGTTTCCCAGATGAGATCTTAGAAGGGGAATGGGATACTTGCCGTCTTCCTGCCCTGACAACCAGCCCTACAAGGGAAGAAAGGCCCAGTTAGCAAAGGGCCCAGCCCAAAGCTGGCACCCAGGTGCATCACAGATGATGGGTGGGAAAACAAGAGACCCAGGAAGTGCCAAAGGCAAGGACGCATCCAAGCCACCATTATAGTCCTCCATCTGCGTGGCGGGGTCAGTGTTCTTCAAACTTAGGCACTTCAATGCAGACTTTCTCAGAATTCCCCAGTCAGCATGGACTGGAAGTCCACATATTCCAAAGTGGCCGAGTTTGAAAACTGTTGGCGTAGAATGGTTTAAACCTCGGCCAATTGCCTTCTCCTTGGTGGTCACAATGCAATGGCTAACTTTTGAAACCTCTATACCACCGGTGACCACTAGAGGGAGATGCAGCCAGGCACCTGGGTCCCCTGCTGGGGCAGGTCGCTTTTCGCTCCAGGGGCTGCTCTGTGCATCCTCATGCCAATCAAGCCAGGTGGCAACAACATAGGTGAGTGGAGAGGCTGCCGCCACTGCCAACATGGTCCTTCCCAGTAGGCTTGGCCATTCACAGGGAGCTATGCCATCAGAAGAGGAACTTGGGATCTAGACCTCTAAGGACCAGGCATCGTTCCTCGGGAAAGCTCCAGTGGCTGAGGGTCAGCCCTCAGAAGACCCAGCCCCATCCTGACCACCCCTCTGCCCCGAAGTCAGAGCTGCCACCCCTTTGCAGCCTGCAAGGCGAGATGTCCAGGCACCCAGGAAGAATGGATGGAAACTGAACAAGGAGAGATTCAACCTGGAAATAAGGAGAAACATTCTGACAGGGAGAACAATTAACCCATGGAACAGAAGTTGTGGGAGCTTCATCCCTGGAAGCTTTCAAGAAGAGACTGGGCTGCCATCTGTCAGGAATGGTGTAGGGTCTCCTGCTTGGGCGGGGGTTTGGACTAGATGACCTGCAAGGTCCCTTCCAACTCAGCTTATCTGTTACCCAAAGCTTTTTCCATGCCCTTGGCAGATTGACCTCCATCTGTGCCAGGAGTGCTTGGTTCTGCCCTGCCTGCGGTGCCCTTGTCCTCCTTGCCCACCTCCCGCTTCCAGCACCAGGGGCCCCAACTGGTCTCGAGGTAAGGGCCCGATTCTCTGCCTCTCCCTTCACGGGGAGCAGCAGCACCTGAGACAACTCCTGAAGGAAAGCTCCTGGCTGAATCCAGCAGAGCCGCCTCTCCTCCCAGGGAGCCAAGCCGCTCAGGGATCCTGGCCCAGCTGTGAAGGGCAGAAGAAATTCCCGTCTCCTGAAACTGTGCAGGACTCTTATCCAGAGCAGAGGGTTGCACATTCTGCAGCTGTGGTTGTTTTCCTTGTTCGGAAGAAAACTGCCTGGGAGGAGTGGATCCCAGGCAAGACCCCCCCCAGGGACCCCCCCCCCGTTTCTCACCTGGATGCAGACGAGGATGGCAACTGCCAGCAGGTACCCAGCCATGGCCTGTCTCCTCCTGGCTTCACAGCTGCTCCGGGAAGGGCTGGGAGTGAGATCGGAGCTGGACAAATTTCAGGTGGGGGGGGGGAGTTCAGATTTAATGGGGCAAGGGAGAGGCAGATGCGGGCAGACAGCAGCGGGCACAGAATGGACCTGCTTTCCGAGCATGGAAAGCAAAGAGCAGCTAGGAAAGGGACGGAGAGGGGCCAGCCCAAAGGCGGGGCAGGGGTGGCAGAGAGGAGAAGCAATGGGGCACAGCCTGTTGGAAAGAAACACCCCCAGCCAGCCTCCAAAGTGGGGGGGAGACAGCCAAGCCCTTGCACCCCAGGCTCCTGCCCGGGCCAGTGGGGGAAGGGCAGGAGTCCTCGTGTCACGAGGGTGGCAATGGGGTGGCACCCTTCTCCCGTTTGGTCCTGTGTGGCAAGGCCACATTATGCTTAACCCAGATTCCCTGCATCTTTATGGCTGCACATAAAACCTTGACTGTGAACACAGGATGGCGAACATAAGGTGCCCCCCCACACACACACACATCCCCACCACCACTATGGAAGGAGCCCTGCAGACGGGCAGCTCCTCTCTGCTGCCCCACCCACTGGAATAACCCCTGGGGAGGGTGGGGGGGGCAATCAGCCTTCTGCCTTTTGGTGGGGGATCCATTGACCTCAGGAGGACTAGGCAAAAAGCTACGCAGACGACCTGCCGTTTTGCTCCTTTCCAATTGAAAAGTTTTCTTCTAGGAAACTTTGCTGACCTTGCCTAGTATTAAGAATTTAGTCTAGATTTTTATCCATTATATAGTACTGCTGTTTTTAACCTATCGTGGGAAAGCAATTTTGGTTTAAGAGGTACAATACAAATGTTTCCAACCAATATAGAAATACTGCATATTTCAGTAGAAACTGTGGAAACAACTTCAACAGTGGCCGAGACTTAGCCAGGACTTTAGGATCTATGTAGTTGCAGCGCAGGCTCAGCGCGCAGCCACGCCTCTCCCCCCCCCCCCCCCCAATGGGGGCAAATGCTCAAGAGCCTCGGATGGTGAGCTTTTAAGGGCCCCTCCCTGTCAGCCCTCAAGGGCAACTGGAAGGGTCCCAACAGGCCAGGCGGGGGTCTGCGGGTGTTACACGGCAGCCTCTCGGGCCCTGGGTGCACCTCGTGGGGAGCGCAACGATGGGAAACGCGGTCGCCTCGGGCGGGACTCAGAGCCGGCGGACGACGGAGCTGCAGGTTGCTTTGAGCCACGAAGGGGGCGGAGACCCTCCTCCCCCTCCCCCCCGCTCCCGGCTCCCCCGCGGAAAAGCTGCCTTCCTCGCCGGGGTGTTTGCGGGCGTCGGGAAGTTGCTACTTGCCTTCAGTCTGGACAGACTTCAGCCGCCGCTCAGGTCCCTCGGTTCAGCCGGCCGTATTTGGGAGGCTCCTGGGCCGGGAGGGGCGCCTCGGGTCCATTTGACGCCACCTGTGGTCGTTTAAGCCCACGCGGGGCTTTAAAGCAAACGCCGCGCGCGTGGGGAAGAGCGCCGCGAGGAAAGGCGTCTGTAGTCCGCTAGTTCCTTCCCTTCGCGCACCGGAGCCCACCTCACCACCGCGCCCGGTGCCCTTCCCCTCCCGGACCCCTCGGGGGGAAAAGCAGCTCAGCCCGCCCGCCCACGGCAGTAAGCGACGCTGGTGGTAGCTCCCCCGTAAACCTGTGGAGTCAACCGAGTGGGGCCTTCCTGGTGGCCGGGTGGGATGTGGGGGGGGGGGGGGGGAGAACCAAAGGACCCCAAAGGCTGCGTATCCTGCTCTTTCTCCACCAGCAGGAATCCTGCCTGGGCTTCCTGCGTCTAATCAATGCATCTAATGCTTACGGCCACGAGTTTTGCAACGCCCTTGCTGCGCCCTTTTTGAGAGGCAGCGCTGGATGCAACGAGGGGCACAGGCTGCAAATGGGAGAAGGAGGGGGGGGGTTCTGTGAGGAAGGGAACGCAGGGAGTCTTTTGGCTCCTTTCCACTGTTTTTCATACTTGGCAGCTTGTGTGGACTTCCACTCCCAGAATTCCCCAGCCGTCTGTCCCTGCTATAACAAGAAGAAGCGACTGGGGAATTTCTGTTGGGGTCCCCGGTGCCCTTGGAGGAAGTCTGTGTAGTCGCTAAGCGTTGACCCTGACTTGATGACCCATAATCCCGGGGTGGGGGTGGGGGATATGGACGGGAAGGCTAGCAAGGCTGCCCGGTGGTGACCAGCCTTCTCCTCACCGATATCTCCTTCGACCCTCACGGTAGCTTCAGGTCCCAGCCCTGGCACAGATGGTGGCTGGCAAAGGGTCCCGAGGCTTAAGTACCACCTGAAGGAGCATTAAAAAGGTCTTTTTGAAACACCCTCGCGAGTTTGCCTCGCTCTCCGGCCGCCTGACAAGGAAACGTGGCCGCCCGATGGGAAAGGGTGCAAAGCGAGGCCGGGCCCTGCCATGGCCTTCCCTCCAGGTAGACTGCCCCTACCCAAGGAGGCTCTGTGCGGCATGACGCGGCTGACGTTCCTCGCGCTGCTTTTTTTAGCTTCCCGGACCAGCTGGGCGACGGGCACCGACGCCATCAGCCCCTCCTCGGCTGAGGCCGGCTTTTACCTCACCGGTGACTCATCCGAGACCAGGAGGCGGTTCTCCGCGTCACTTGTGAATGTACCCGACGGGGCGGGGGGGCGGAGAGACGTGCGCGCCTCCACGCTGAGATGCGCGTGAAGCCGGTGCGCGGCTGGGCGGCGCAAGGCGGGCGGGGCGGCGGAATGCCGTCAGCCGCAGCAGCGGTGGCAGGCTCGGTCCGGCGGGCCGCGGCTTCACGGGCGAGCGCGCGCGCGAGGCGCAGGGCTATGAATAGCGCAGCTGACGCGCGGCGCGCAAGAGGGAGCAGCGCCGGCCCCCGCGCTATTTTTAGAGCCGCCGCACCAGAAATAGCATCCTCTGGAGCTGCGGCCCAGCCGGGATGACGCGGGCGCCGGCGCAGCGTCTGAATCAGAGGCCGGCGGCGCCCCGGCGGCCCGAAACGGCCCCGGCAGCCTCTGCCCCCCAAGGGTCGCGGATCGAGACTATGGAGGGCGCCGCAGCTGGAGCGGAGC